GCGGGACGTTACCATGGCGATCGCGCGGGGGCGGTGGGCGCGGCCGGGCGAGTCCGGCCCAGGTAGGCTGGCCTTTGATGGAGGGCTCCCCGACGTGAGCTGGGGAAGATCGGCCTGAAGAGGGCGCTGCTTCGCGCCCCGCGTTCCTGTTGCGACTCCGTTGTTCCGGCCGCTTGCTTTACAGTGACCCGGGAGCCCTGGAACCGAACGCTGCTTGACTGCATCCGCCGCCCGAAGGAGGGAAAAGAAAAGGGAAAAAGTCTCCTTTCTGCGGAAAGTGTCACCTACCATATTGGCCGCACATAGCCTGAAAATACCTTCCTATCCCACCTACTTCACGAAAGCCCGAATGGAAGAAAATTCTAACACAATTAGAACTTGAATTAATATTATTTTACTCTGGCCATTTAGATACTTTGTCCGTTTAAAAAATGCGTTCAAATGTATTGGTAAAATTTGGAAGCGTAAATGGATGAGAGACCCAAATAATTTCGGAGCGCACACAAGCCGTTTGGAGTCAGTGGAGGAAAAAGTATTCTCAGCTGGATGAGAATGCAAATGTTTTATAACATACAAATCTAAGTTGAGCAGTGAAAGTAACAGTATCATGAAATTCTAAATTTTGCCACACATGAAGGATATAGTGTATTGGATGGTTTACTAAACCGTAATCTTAAAGATTGAATTCCAGAAATAAGAGTCAAAATTTCTTTGCTATGAGCTTAAAATAGGAACCTACTAGATATGTAAGGAATTTGGGAGTAAAATTAGAGCACTGCTGGCTTTGCATATTATCTGCTGTCTAGGAAAGGAATTCTGTATATGCCAGAACTTGCCCTGCCCCTGACATTAATGTTATGCACACTTTAAAAAAACATTAGTGCGCCACATAATTCACAACCATATAATTCACCCATTTATAGTGTCGTGATTTTCATATCTTCACAGAGTTGTATAGCCATCTTCACTGTTTACTTCCAGAACATTTTCTTGACCTCCGAAAGAAACCTTGAGTTGACTAACACACACACACTCTCACACCCTGGTCCTCCCTTTTCCTCTGTCGGGGTAAGCCCCTGTGATACCTTCTGTTTCCATAGATCTGCCTGTTTTGGACATTTCTTATCAAGGGAAATCTTATCCTATATGGCCTTTTGTGTCTGGCTTCTTTCACTGAGCATATGTTTGCAAGCTTCATCCCTGTTCTAGCAGGTATCATTTGTTTAAACAGATTATATAAGGACTCTTGGAAAAGTTCATGGGAATTAAGAAAAAAAAAAAAAAAACTATGCATACATTTCTTTTTTTTTTTTTTTACCAGAATAAACTCTTACTTTACTTTCTTTTTAGGTTTATTTTTATTTTATGACTGGGAGACACAGAACTTCCCAATGAAATCTATTTATTTTTCTTTTTTTGAAGAGGTTTTTGCTATAGGGCGCGTGCGCTCGCCAGACAGAGAGAGACAGAGAGATAGAAAGCGAGAAATCACCCCCCCAGAGGGGATGGCCATGCCGCAGTCCCTTCTCCTCCATTCTCCTCTCGGGATCTTGGGCATGCACACACTCGCGCCCGGTGTGAGTTTAAGCCACCAGGTCCGAACTCGACCCGCGAACCGCGTTCGACTACGTGGAAGTCCAGGGACATAGCCATTACGCTAACTGCTGGTCCGGCCCAATGAAATCTTGAAGCTGCAATCTGCCCCAATTTCCAGTCAGTCTAGGATCCTGGGCACTAACACACACACACACACACAAATCTGGAACTCTCCCAGATGGGTCAGCCTCTCAGATCACTGTCCTACTCCTACCTCATGATCCAGTCCCAGAATTTCATTTAACATGAACTTTTCAGAGCCCCTTTGTATTCCTTTCATTTTTTCCTTTTTAAAATTTATTTATCTATTTATTTGTTGTGAATTTCAACTGCTCGGTCCAGGAACCACAGTCGACCATGTGGGAGTCCAGCGCCTCACCCACCATTCTACCTGTTGTATTTCCCTTGTATTTCATTGTGGGGACATACCACATTCTGGATATCAATTTATAGTTAATGAATATTGAAATCATTTCTGACTTTTGGCTGCGAATAATGATGCTCTAAACATTTACATAGAAGATTTTGGACAGATGCGTGTTCATTTCTCTTGGGGAGAATTTCTACCTAGGGGAGTAATTACTGGGTTGTATGTTTCACTTTTTTTTTTTTAATTATTTATTTGAGGCCAGCACATGGCATGATGGGTAAGGTGTTGGACTCCCATGTAGCCAACAGCAGTTTGAGTCCTGGACCCAACAGCTTGAAAATCATGCCATGCCCAAAATCCCAAGAGGAGAACAAAGCAAAAGGGATTACAATATGGTCACTGGGGGATGATTTCTCACTTTCAGTCTCTGTCTCTCTGGCAAGCGCACACGTCCTATAGCAAAAAAGCACTTAAAAAAAAACTGTTTAATTTTATTTATTCATTCATTTATTTTAATTTGATTAGAGAGAGACAGACTCATACACATACAGAGAGAGAGAGAAGGAAAATAAGAAAGCAAGCCACCAGGTCTAGGACTCAAACTGTGGACAGCCATGTGGGAGTATCCAGTGCCTTAATCACCATGCCACCTGCTGGTCCTTCTTAAGTACATTTTTTTTTCTTTAAACTTGCTATAAGGTACATGCACTTACCAGAGAGACACACAGAAAGAGAGAGAGAGAGAGAGGAAAAGTGAAAAAACAAGCCACCAGATCTGGGACTTGAACTGCAGTCAACCATGTAGTCCTGAGCCTTAATCACCATATCACTTGCTGGCCCGTATGTTTAACA